TGGCCAAAAAAGTATAGCAGTTAAAGCAATATGATACTGGCACATAAACAGGTAGCATTAGAATAATTACAGGCCCAGATATATCCACAGAGTTAGTGTGTAAGCAAGTAGCATTTAAAATCAGCAAAGAAGAGTGTTGGGGTTGTTTTTGTTTGTTTGTTTTTTAATTTATTAGTTGCAGCAGGTGGGCTCCTTAGTTGTGGCATGCGAACTCTTAGTTACGGCATGCATGTGGGATATAGTTCCCTGACCAGGGATCAAACCCTGGCCCCCTGCATTGGGAGCATGGAGTCTTAACCACTGCGCCACCAGGGAACTCCCAAAGAAAAGTTTTGAGTCAGTGAATTTGTTGAAATAACTGAGTAGCCACCTGAAAAAAATTAAATTGACTCCTTACCTGCGTTTTTATATGTCTTCACTGGAAGAGGCAAAGCTTTGCCAAATATTAACAAAGCCATTTGAAAGGTGGTATCAGCCACAGTGTCACTGCGAAGATAGATGGAGAGTGAGATATATATGATATTACAGATACATGTAATATGAATATTTATCTTTTGTAACCAGGTCCTTGGTGTAGTATTTATACTCCTCAATCTACCTTTTAAAAAAAGACAAAAAGCCAAAAGATACGTGTATGCTGATAATTTAAAATGCAGAACCAAAGCCACTGAGCAGCAGCTGACACTGTTACTGACTTGTGTGTGAACAGCTTTCCCCTCTTCTTTCCTTAACCTCCTTGTTGCCTAGGATGAAGAGAGTCCATAATTTAAAGCAGAGCAGGAGGACTTGACCTCCTCCCATTCCTCTCTAAATGAGCCACTTTGGGCATCAGTAGTTGACTGGGGAGAGTAAACAGAAACTGCCAGTCAAAGCCCCTGGGACTCCAGTACCAGAGTTCTTTTCTTCTTTGCCACAACCATTGTAGACTTTAAAAGACCAGTAAGTCAAGATTAGTGTGTTAGGGACAGCATGGAGGCCAGCACTGCTGTAAATGAGACATGACGAAAAGTACGTCACTACTGTTGGCCAGAAGGAAACAAAAGGAAAAGTACCCTTTTTACTCTAAAACAACAATAACTGGGGCTTCCCTGGTGGCTCAGTGGTTAGGATTGCGCCTGCCAATGCAGGGGACACGGGTTCGAGCCTTGGTCCGGGAGGATCCCACATGCCATGGAGTGGCTAGGTCCGTGAGCCACGACTACTGAGCCTGTACTCTAGAGCCTGCGAGCCACAACTACTAAGCCCACGCGCCTAGAGCCCGTGCTGCGTGACAGTAGAGGCCACCACAACCAAGAGTAGCCCCGCTCACCGCAATTGGAGAAGGCCTGCGCGCAGCGACGAGGACCCAATGCAGCCAATAAATAAATAAATAAATAAATAAATTCTTAAAAAAAAACAACAGCTGCAAAAGTACTCTACTTATACCTGGGGATACTATTTTAAAAAAATAATCTCTGACTAGGGACACCCTTCCTAAATAGACTTAAATCCCAGAGCTATTTAAAAAAAATTCAACTAACTAAATTTCAACTAACTGAAATTCAACAGACTCACAGACTTAGAGAACGAACTTACGGTTACCGGGGTGGAGGGTAGGGGGGAGGGATAGTTAGGGAGTTTGGGATTGACATGTACACACTGCTGTATTTAAAATGGATAACCAGGGCTTCCCCGGTGGCACAGTGGTTAAGAATCTGCCTGCCAGTGCAGAGTACACGGGTTCAAGCCCTGGTCCGGGGAGATCCCACATGCTGTGGAGCAGCCACTACTGAGCGCCACTACTACTGAGCCTGTGCTCTAGAGCCTGCAAGCCACAACTCCTGAAGCCCGCATGCCTAGAGCCCGTGCTCTGCAACAAGAGAAGCCACCACAGCGAGAAGCCTGCGCACCGCAACAAAGAGTAGTCCCCACTCTCTTCAATTAGAGAAAGCCCACGCTCAACAATGAAGACCCAACACAGCCAAAAATAAATAAATAAATAATTTTTTTAAAAATCAAAATAAAATAAAAATTAAAAAGAAAAGATAACCAACTAGGACCTACTGTATAGCACAGAAAACTCTGCTCTATATTATCTAACAACCTAAATGGGAAAACGAAAAAAAATTTTTTTACTGTACAGTCCTATTTGTAGAAGAATGCCAACTAATATAGGAGGAATGGTGGGTATAGAAAAACAGTCTTTCGCAGTCAACACAGTAATACTTGCCTCAGCCAACAGTTACCCTTGGGGGACTTCCCTGCTGGTCCAGTGGTTAAGACTCTGTGCTTCCAATGCAGGCAGTGCGGGTTCCATCCCTGTTCTGGGAGCTGGGATCCCACATGCTGCACAGCGAAAAAATAATAATAATAAAAAATTATCCTCGGGTACCTAAACAGTTGGATGAAAGACTATGGGGGAAGAGGATAGTCACAGAATTTTTAAAATGTCACCCCACAGATTACCAACTAAAAAAGGGAAAGGAGAGAGAGGTACCGTTTTGCTGCGATACACTGAAAAAGCCACAGCATCACCTACGTGATATTCCCACCAAAATGTGGGCATCTTAACGTGAGGAAACAATGATTGTCCTGGTTCTTGATTAGATCCTGAATTTAAGGAGGTTTAAAAAAAAAAATCTAAGTGATGTTATTGGGGGAATTGGGGGAATTGGATGTGGAGTGCTCATCAGTGGCCTTGAATTCACATAGGCTTCGTGAGGGTGACTGGTGGTTAGAAACGCGGGAGACCCTGCTGTTCTTAGGAGACACACTGCAGTCACTTTAGGGGTGAGGTGTCCCTAGGTCTGCAGGTCACTCTCACGTGGTTCAGAAAAATACATAGGTTTTACCTGCATGTGTGTATGTATGCGCATATGTGTAATGTGTGGGTGTTCATATATCTAGAAATATATGTAAAGTAAATCTGGGAAATGGTTAGCAATTGGTAAATCTACAGGTGAGGTATAAGACCTTTTGTTATAGTGGTGCCAATTTTCTCCAGTTTGATTTTTTTTAACATGAAGTTGGGAAATTTTCTAAAGTGTAAAATATTATGAATAAACTCACAAAATGGGAGATAATATTTGCAAGCTATGTGGTAAAGGGTAGATTTCCTTAATATATGAAAACAGAAGAATATTAACAACCCAATAGAAAAATAAGTAGTAGGACGAACAGGTACTTCACAGTCAAGATAATGAAGAAATGTTTAGTTTCTCTCATAGTAAGAAGCATTCAGATAAAAATCAAAATAGCATTTTTTAAAAATATATTTATTTTTGGCTGCGTTGGGTCTTCGTTGCTGTGCGGGCTTTCTCTGGTTGCGGTAAGCGGGGGGCTACTCTTCGTCGATGTGTGGGCTTTAGTAGTTGTGGCACATGGGCTCAGTAGTTGTGGCTCTCGGGCTCTAGAGCGCAGGCTCAGTAGTTGTGGCTCACAGGCTTAGTTGCTCCGCGGCATGTGGGATCTTCCCAGACCAGGGCTCGAACCTGTGTCCCCTGCATTGACAGGCGGATTCTTAACGACTGCGCCACTAGGGAAGCCCCAAGATAGCATTTTTAACTTATCAGCCTGACAGAGCTCAAAAAGGTTTATAACATGCTGTGTGAGGAGACACAGGCCTGAGGAAGTAGGCACTTACATATTAATGGTGTGAGTGTGAATTGGTGTAACTGTTTTGGAGGGCAATAGGGGTTAAAATTTAAGATCCCTGCCTTCTAATTCTAGGGGCTTATCTGAATCATTCACTTATGTAGATGCACCAAGAAGTCTATACGAGGGTATGTGTTATAGAATGGATTGTAATAGCAAAAGATGGGTAGCAATTTAAATGCCCATCACAGGGGACTGGTCAGATAAAGGTCAGAGAAAGGATCCAGGCAGTGCAGCAGCCATTCTTTGAAGCTGTGCACAGAGTGAGGCAGCTCTAGAGAAGGACTGTATGCATAAGCCCAGTCTGTAATATGCGTTCTTTCAGTGAATATAAGCAAGATGCTGAACAATTTATAATGTAACAAAAATTGTTTTTTGAAAGGGAAGATCTGGATGCTAGTTACATGGTTGTGTTCACTTTGTGAAAATCCGTCAAGCAGAACACTTACGATCTGTGCACTTTTCTGTATATATAACATATGTGTTAAAAGCTTACAAAGAAATTCCAAAAAGAGAGAAGACAATAGGTATACCTGTGTGTACAGAAAGTGTTACTAGAAGAATAGACAAGAAACTTTTAATGTTGGCTGCCAGTGGGGAGGGGTATTGAGGGATAGAGATAGAACAGAGGCCTTTCAGTACTGTATTTCTTTTTCTATGTGTATTACTATTAAAGAAGTTAAGAAGTTTTTCATGAAAATTTTATCATGCCATTTAAATGACAGCAGGAGGGTACAGATTATGGTAGGATTCTGACTACGTATATATAGTCAGATAAAGATAAATATTATATAAATATATCTGACATGAATTTAAGAAAGAAAGAATGGGAGGAAATTCAAAGTTAGATATTAACAGATTTTTCTTTCAGGTGATGAAACTGAATTTTTTTTTTCTTGTTCTGTACTTTTCTGTATTTTTCCAAGTTTTCTGTAGTGAGTTTACAATACTTTTCTGAGGGACGAAAATGAAAATTGACTTTTTTAATGCTTAATAACTATCTTTTTACCTGTAGGGATTGCTCTCTGCTCCCTTTCTCACCCCTCTTCCCTCACAAAAACTAGAAAATTTCACAGATGATACTGTTCCATTATCAGTATGTAAGTAACATGAGGCTCTAAGAATATAAACATTGCCCAGGTTACATCATTCCAATAGGAACAGGTGTCCTCATGCTGGAGGAACATTCCAGAGGCAAATGAAAGGTAGACTCACCCCACCAGCTGCGGTGCCTTTGTTTTGCATCGTCATAGTGTGTAGTCTCATTTCAAGCTGCCGTTTTCTGTAGTAAAGTGTCCTAGACCATTTCAGCCAGGCGATAGCTCATGACCCTCTTTCTGCTTCTTTTTTTATTTCGTATTTTTTAGAATAACTGCACAAAGACTTGCCCACTTGAATAAGTGCTTGATGAACTTTAAGCTAGGGAATTTCAGCTATCAGAAAAACCCTCTGAAATTGGGAGAGCTTCAAGGGAATCACTTCACTGTTGTCCTCAGGTAAAGAGCTGTGGGTATGAATGCAGACCAGAGAGGGTCTTGCTGTGTCACCTTGAGTCTGTTCAGAACAGTTAATCCCAGTGAGCTGGTGCAGATGCCCGTGGCAGCCAGGAAGGCGGGGTGGGGCCCAATGAGGCTGGGAGAGCAAACACAGCTGCAGTGTTTGTACCAACACGCCCACCCCTCTAAAAACTCAGCACCACCTTTGGAAAGAAGCCGTCTCCTTGAAATACAAAAGACGGCCTATGATTCCACTCATATTCAGTACCTAGAATAGGCAAATTCATAGACGTAGGACGTAGAATAAAAGTTACCTGGGGTATAAGGTGCGGACGGGGAGATGGAGAGCTGCTGTTTAATAGGTGCGGAGTTTAGATTTGCGAAGATGAAGATAGTGGTAAAGGTTGCACGACATTGTGAATGTACTTAATGCTACTGTATTGCATACTTAGAAATGGCTAAAAAGGTAAATTTAGTGTTGTGTATATGTCACAATTTTTTAAAAAGACAGTGTCCTCAGGAGGTAGAAAGCTGCAGGGGGCAAGGGAAAGGCACAGAAGCCAAGCCATGTCACTTGTGATATGCATCCCTGAATGTGTTGGCCTGTAAATTTTTTTCTCTGGGTAATTTGGGCCCCTACAGAAATATTACTGGAACTGATGACCAAGTGGAACAAGCCATGAACTCTCTCAAGGAGATTGGATTTATTAACTACTATGGAATGCAAAGGTTTGGAACCACAGCCGTCCCCACATATCAAGTTGGAAGGTTTGTATTTAATTTCTTAACTTTTGTCTAAAAGAGCTCTCTCCTTAAAAAAAAGAAGCAGGATGTTTTTTGTTGGTGGTGTTTTTAATTATTTCTAGATTTCCTAGAAAAAATGGAAATCTGGGCCAAACGAAGCAGTGTGTCTCATCCTTTTGGATGACCAACTGATCCACAGCCTCCTTCTGTTTTATGATAATACATGCACAAGGTGAAAAAATAAATCAGAATTCAAAAAGATATAACTTGAAAAGTAAAGTTTTTCTCTCTCCCTTGATAGCCCATCCAGGGATTCTGTTTTATTTTCTTTTTTACAGGTAAATCTTGGCTCAGTAAGTGACCCAACAGTAGCAGTTGGGTAACTCAGACCCAAAGTAGCCTGAGGGAGACGGTGTAGTTTATGATCTCTGTTAACAAGTGCTTCCTAGTTTCTTAAACTTGTACCTGCCCTTCCCCCATCCTTTAAAGAAAATGGTATAGGGTGCAATTAGCAAGTAAAATTATTTTAAGAACTCTCTGATTAGCTTTGAGATAACAGGAAATCCCTGTACGGCGAGCTAGAGTGGGAATCCCATCAATAAATACTTGGGTTTATAAACTTACTTATGCTATCCTGCTGTCCAGCAGAGACTGTGTTACCTAAATAATTATTCATGTGGCAGTTAGAACTGTGGAAGTCTGAGTTGGAAGTGATCTGAGAGGTTTAGTTCATGTTCTTCCTGGTGCTTCAAATCCTTTATTTTAGCAAAGATGAAATCTCGGCTTAGGGAGCCTGCCCAGGCTCACTAGTTGGTCAGGTGCAGCACTGAGAATAGAGGGGCTCTTCTTGAATCAGTCCATGGTTCAGCAGCTGACTGCATGAAGTTGCATTTGTTCATGCATCTTTAAGAGCACAAAATGAAAAATATCATGTAGTATTTCCTCTACCTCTTTGAGGCAGTGTTAGGGTTAAAAGCTCAGGCAGAAGGGGGTAATTCCCTGGCCGTCCAGTGGTTAGGACTGTGCGCTTTCGCTGCCTAGGGCCTGGGTTCAGTCCCTGGTGGGGGAACTAAGATCCCGCAAGCCTTGCGGTTCAGCCAAAAAAAAAAAAAAAAAGGCAAAACAAAACAAAACCCCTCAGGCATTGAAGTCAGATTTCAGTTCTGAGCCTCACATTAGTCATCTGTGAAATGGAAAGGATAACACCAACCTCACAGGGGTGGTGAAAATGAAGTAAGATGAAGTCTATGCAATACCTCTTTCTATGCCTAGCAGATAGGAAGTGCTCAATAAATAGAAAGTAATATATTAAAATTAGAATATACTAACCAGAGAAAAAAAATGTTGCCAGGAAGAACACTGTAATAAATAATAATCACTATTATTAGATAATAAAAGATAATATTTTCAATCTTGCTAATGTTCAGAGGACATTGATAATGAAGATGCTAATTGTACTGTGAGACAGAATATTTAAGAGAAGGCTGTATCACCCGTTGAATTTGTAGCTAATTCGGCAGAACAGCAGCCATGGGACCCTGTAAATTTTGCACTCCAAAGATAATGTAAAATAGCTAATGAAAATGACATCAGATTTATTCAGGGCCAAAGTTGCATTAACATGCCCAAGTATAAAGTCAGTATATAATCCATTCAGAATTCCTAACCAACAATTTGTAAAACACAAGAATGTTTCCTAGTTTCAGAGTAGCCCACTGTTACCACCACAGGACCACCTAAAGAAAAAAACCCTCAGTTTATAGTTTAAAGGTGGAAGAATGACTTGAATCCAAAATATTTAAAGAACTGTTATGACTCAAAAACAAAAAGACAGATAACCTAAAAATGGTCAAAAAATCTGAGTAGACATTTCTCCATAGAACATAGACTAATGGCCAATAAGCACATAAAAAGATGCTTGACATCACTAAGGAATCACTAATCACTGGGAAAAAGCAGTTCAAAACCACAATGAGATACTACTTCACACCCAGTACAATGGCTAAAATCAGAAAGACAGACAATAAATAAGTATGGGTGGGGGACTTCCTTGGTGGTGTGATGGTTAAGAATCCACCTGCCAGGCTTCCTTGGTGGCGCAGTGGTTAGGAGTCCACCTGCCAGTGCAGGGGACTCGGGTTCGAGCTCTGGTCTGGGAGGATCCCACATGCCACGGAGCAACTCAGCCCCTGCGCCACAACGGCTGAGCCTGCGTACTGCAACTGCTGAAGCCCTCATGCCTAGAACCTGTGCTCTGCAACATGAGAGGCCACTGCAATGAGAGGCCCGCACACCGCAGCGAGGAGCAACTAGAGAGAGCCCGCGCACAGCAACCAACACCCAACGCGGCCAAAAATAAAAATAATAAAATAAATAAATAAAAAAGAATCCACCTGCCAAAGCAGGGGACATGGGTTCAATCCCTGGTCCGGGAAGATCCCACATGCCGTGGAGCAACTAAGCCCATGCGGCAGGACTACTGAGCCTGTGCTCTAGAGCCCATGAGCCACAACTACTGAAGCCCGTGCCCCCTAGAGCCCACATGCCTCGACTGCTGAGCCCGTGCACCGCAACTACTGAAGCCTGCGCACCTAGAGCTCATGCTCTCCGACAAGAGAAGCCACTGCAACGACCTGGCTCGCCGCAACTAGAGAAAGCCCACGTGTAGCAACGAAGACCCAATTCAGCCAGAAAAGAAAAAAAAAAGTATTGTTGAGGATGTGGAGAACTTGGACCTCTCATGACCTGCTGGTGGGAATCTAAAATGGTACAGCCGTTTTGGGAAATAGTCTGGGTTTTCCCTACACGGTTAAATAATAGGGTTACCATATGACCTAGCTATTGCGTTCCTAGGAATAATACTCAAGAGAATCGAATACATATGTCCCACATGAAAATTTACACTGATATTTATAGCAGCCAAAATTATGGAAACAACCCAGATGTCTATCAGCTGATAGATGGGTAAACAAAATGTGGCATATTAATACAATGGAACATTATTCAGCAGTAAAAGGGAACGAAGGACTGATACATGCTATGACTTGAATGAACCTTTAAAACACGCTCAGTGAAAGAAGCTAGTCACAAACGGCAACATAGTGTATGATTCTTTATGTATGAAATGTCCAGACTAGGCAAATCCATAGAATCAGAAAGTTGATGGGGCAGAGGTCATGGAGAATAAGTGGCTGCTGATGGGTTAGGGTTAGGATTTCTTTTCGGGGTGATGAAAATGTTCTAAAATTGATTGTGTAATGTTGCAAAATTCTGTAGTATACTAAAAGTCATTGAGTTGTGCACTTAAAGGATAAATTATGTGGTATGTGAGTTATACCTCAGTAAAACTGTTTAAAAAAAAAAGTGGAACAAATCCTAATATATATGGTCAGATGATTTTTGACAAGGATGACAAGATCATTCAGTTGGCGAAAGGACAACTTTTCAACGAGTAAGTGTTGGGGATACTGGCTGTCCACCTGCAAGAAAAAGAAAATGAAGTTGGAACTTTACTTTTACACCATATTAAAAAACTTAGGGCTTCCCTGGTGGCGCAGTGGTTAAGAATCCTCCTGCCAATGCAGGGGACATGCGTTCGAGCCCTGGTCCGGGAAGATCCCACGCACCACGGAGCAACTAAACCCGTGTGCCACAGCTACTGAGTCTGTGCTCTAGAGCCCGCGTGCCTAGAGCTCTGTGCTCCGCAGCAAGAGAGGCCACCGCAATGAGGAGCCCGTGCACCGCAACGAAGAGTAGCCCCCACTCGCCACAACTAGAGAAAACCCGCACGTAGCGATGAAGACCCAACGTAGCCAAAAATAATAAATAAAATAAATTTATTTTTTAGAAAATTAAAAAAATAAAAAAAGAAGGTGGAAGAAGGAAAGATAATGTCAGAAAAATAGAAAACATTTTAATGTGTGGTGAGCCAGATAGGATGGCTTGTTATAAACCAAATATAATCCATCTTTAATATGGCGCTATATACTGAACCTTCACGTGTGTGGTAGTATCTTAAAAGTGTTAAAAAGTCCTGTAGTTGAGAAATTTTAATATATTACACCAGATGTTGGCAGACTTTCTCTGTAAAGGTAAATATTTAGGCTTTGTGGGCCATGGAGTGTGTGTAGTAGCTACTCAGCACTGCTGTTACAGTGTGAAAGTAGCCAGAAATAGTACATAAATTAAGGATCCACGGATGTTTTCCAATAAAACTATTTACAAAATCAAGTGGCTAGCCAGATAACAAAGGTTTTTGAGCACAGAAGTCTTTTTCCATGAAATCTGGCACACTAGTTCCTAGTCTTGAATTAATACTGTACTCTTTTTGGAAATGTTACTGAAGGCCTAGGCAGCTGAATAATGTGTCACTCAGGAGTATATTTAAAGACTGATAGAGCATGGCTTGTTCCAGGACTTTAAGGATGGCCAGCAGTGGGATATCTATTAATCTAATTCATTGCATTAGTAGGTTAAATATCCATATGATCTCATCAGTAGATAAAACATTTTATATAATTTAATACATAGAAATATATAGATTAACTTAAACGTGAGAAATGAAAACGCTAGTTAAGTAGAAAAACAGAAAAATTAATAGAAGGGATTTTTATTTTCTTATGGTAGGGAGGGCCTTTCTCAGTATGACTCCAAGAGCAGAAATCTTAACTATATAAAATGTTCAGATATGATACATGAAATACAACCTCTGTGTGATAAAAGAGAGTATAATAAAAGTTAAAGAAAAAACTGCATACACTTAAAGATCAAGTAAGTCTTGAAAACTACTCTCTGAAGTGTTAACAGTGTTTATTTTTTAAAGGTTAGATATCAGGTAACCTTTCTTATGTACTGTTTAATTTTAAAGAAGCATGTATAACTTATAATCAGCAAATGTAAAGATACTTCCATTTTGGCAAGAATAATAGAGAAGGATAAATTGTATTTATTCTCTTTAGGCAAGAAAGTATTTAACATGGGAGACTTTTTTTGAGAAGCTTCAAATAAGTTTTAGTATATAAAGACAACTTTGATTTATACAGATAATACCATGTATAACAGCTTAAAGCATGACTAGGTAGTATTTATACTATAACAGCTTTCTAAAACTGTGAAATGATATTAAATGTTATGAGTAAACATTATATTTTTAATTTTCTCCTCTTAAGTTCTTTTGACATTTACATTTGAAACCTATGTTATTATATTAGTTTTTCTGCTTATTTTAAGTTTAATAAAATACATAAAGTTAATATGGTTTGTTACTCCACAGGCTTGGGCAAATAAAATTCATCTTAATGCAAAATTAAGTAAAATAAATGCTGTTTAATTTTAGAGCTATACTACAAAATTCCTGGGCTGAAGTCATGGATTTAATATTGAAACCCCGTTCTGGAGGTGAGAATAAAAATAATCTTAAGAAAAAAAAAGAATATATGACTAGGTATTCATGGAATTGCTTTGAATTGAAGTATAGGTACAAATTGGGGTCATTATTTCAGAATTTTAAAAACTGTTTTTAAAGTAAAAAGTATAGTTTATGTCTTTTTTTACACAAGTTTTATGTATATATTTGAGATTTATAATTTATATCTTATTTTCAGGTCTTTAGCTCATCTAATTTATTAATTCATAAATGAATACATTCATTTCCTTTTCTCCATGCAGTATTAAATCTCTGAACATATAGGAATCCAAACAGATTTCACTGGTGGTTAATTTGTTAAAGCAAAATGTAATACAATATAAAAACTTGGCAAAAACACACTGAGGATTTTTAAGTTTGGAGAGTTCATTAAAAACTAATGTCATACTGTATGGAAAAGGATTTAAGTACCACTTTACAAATCAGCAAAATAATTATGCCCACTTTGGATAATTATTCATTTGCAAGTTGAAAGAGATAAGGTTGTCTAATTTTATGGAAAGTAACCCATTAAATTTGACAATACAATAGAAAAAGAGAGGGAAGGAAGAAAGGGCTACCAAGGTTTTGTCTGATGTTGAGTCAGCTTGATAATGAACAGTCATTGGCTTTAAGTCCTGGGGTGGTAGCATGTTGAAAGCCATCTAGTTCTGTAAACTTTCTGCCCTTCCCATCTTTTCACTTTTCTGATGATGATTCTCAGGTGACCAAAAGCGCTTCAGAGTATCTCTCTTACAAATAGCACTTTCTAATTTTGTGTTCTCTGTGAAGTGTTTTAAGTTATAGAACTGTCTTTTGGATAAATTGTTAACACAGCTTTTTTTCCCCCCACCAGCTGAAAAGGGGTACTTGGTTAAATGCAGGGAGGAATGGGCGAAGACCAAAGACCCAGCCGCTGCCCTCCGAAAACTACCTGTCAAAAGGTGTGTGGAAGGGCAGCTTCTCCGAGGACTTTCAAAATACGGACTGAAGAATATAGTCTCTGCATTTGGCATAGTGAGTGCAATTTGTGAAGTCAGGCACTGACTCGAGGTGGCTCAATGCTTTGAACTTTTTGTCTTTAAATATTTTACTAAATTTTGGAAGAACAGAAGGTAAATAAGGATCCTTTGGCAATCTCTGAGAGGGGTGTTGCCTGCGGGATCCTTGCTGAGACCCTGGGTGGTGATAGGGGAGGGTGGTGGGTGCAGGCAGTGGGGCAGTGGTTGTTAACATGCAAGGCACGAGGAAAGCATCTGTGTGGAAAATACCTACAAGGAAGTTTAAATTAAGTATCTTGGTATTTGAGAAATTCAGAACCCATCATAGAGTTCATTTCTTAGTCTCTGTAGCATCAGAGCTGTAACCTGCTTCAGTGAGAGGGTTGCACAGTAAGTGATCTAAATGACTACATTTTAGTGTGGTTTCTCTGTGGTGATTCAAGACTGGGTAGCATCATGGTAAGTGTAGCCTATACTGGTGTTTGCATACTATAGTACAGATAGACTAAAGTTTAACTCCTAACTGTAAGTCTTGGTTACTCTCCCCCAGATGTACAAAAAAATCAGGATTCCTGCTGTAGGAAATTAGTTGTCAGTTCAGTCATACAGGCTTTCTCCTTCCATAGAATTAGAAAGCACTGTTAGCTCTATGATTGAGGTGTAAATTCCTTGAGTTTGAAGTCTGTATCTTTGATTGAGGGTATAAATTCCAAAGCACTTGCTTTCTTCACATGAGCGTCTGAACTGTGGGTGCAGAACGGGAGCCGCTGCAGCTGCTGCTGATCATGAACACCCCCTAGTCTGAGGGCTTCCGTCTCTAAAATTGGTGGCTGTGTGTCAGTTACTGTTTCTATAGACTGTTAGAAAAATGGGAGATTGAAGTTACGAGTTTCTTGTACTAGGGGCACCACTAAACAAGTGGGATGTCTTGGAAAGTACAGTACTTTTAATATTTGGAATGTATTTTTTTTTCTCTTGCCTGTTTTTTATTTTTCTCCCGTCAGATACCAAGAAATAATCGCTTAATGTATATTCATAGCTATCAGAGCTATGTGTGGAACAACATGGTGAGCAAGAGGATTGAAGAGTACGGACTGAACCCTGTCCCGGGGGACCTTGTTCTCAAAGGAGGTAAAAGGGCAGACACCATCCTTGCTCACCCAAACTTGGGTTCAGTTATTTGACACTAGTGCTTAACATCCAGCCTGGCTGCTGGTTAAGATAGCTGTCTGGTAAGCTTGAAAGGGAAAGACATTGTAAGCTCAGACTGACTGGTATGGATCTGTCATATGTAATGAAAAATAGGCATCTGATTCGAAAATATGCACCTGACTCTCTCCGGGCTTCCATTTTCTCAACTAGGATAAGATTTGGACTAAGTGTTGCCTAAGATCCCTTTGCAAACCCTAATCTGGGTCTAGCTAATACTTCTCTACACTTCTGGGTATACTTCAGCCTCCCGGCTGTCGTTGGCCAGTCTTAAAGAGTTTCTTTAAGTCAGCACAAGACTGGAGTGCACTTTACATGGGGATGTGATATCGTAGACATTTAGTGCACACTCTGTGCCTGAAATGTTCATAAGACATGCAAACAGTCCCATCTGCTGTTGAGCCCTTACTGTGTGCTGGGCCTTCTGCTAAGTAAGCCCTTTACCTGCATCTTCTAGTTTAAAGCTCAGTATTACTGTGAAGCACTCTGTCTGTTCCTCACACGAGGTTCAGTCACTTACCCCAAGTTTCCACAGCTGGTTAAAAAAAAAAAGAGAAGGCTGGGACTTCCCTTGTGGGCCAGTGGTTAAGACTCCGCGCTTCCACTGCTGGGGACGTGGATTCGATCCCTGGTCAGGGAACTAAGATTCCACATGCCACTCAGTGTGGCCAAAAATAAGTAAATAAATAAACATTAATTTTTAAAAAAAATTAAAAAGAGAGAGAGAAGTCTGGGAATCAAATGAAGTCTGTTTCCAAAGTCCATTTCTTCCTGGCTGCTTCCTGGAGACAGTCTGCTCATCTGCAGGTGTGCCCAGTAACTGAACTAAAGCTTTTCATTTGTATGGAAATTTAATTAATCTCTTCCTGATTTAATTTTTCCTCACTCAATATTGATCACATCTGGTGTATTTTAATGTCCCCTGTGCCACCACATTTCATCCTCTAAATACAGACGGGGTTTTTTTCCCCATTGTTTATGCTTTTAGCAAAATGTATTCATCTGTGATAACTTTCCAAATAGTATTTTGTAGTGTTGTCTGATGAGGAAAAAGAAGCTAAAAGCCAGGAGTCCTAAAACGTGAGGGTGCAGCTGAGAAACAGATTATTTTTAGTTTTCTACTTTTTCTGAATCCACGATATTTATTTTTCGGGTGGAATAGAAAAGACAGAAAGGCAAATTAATTTCTCTAAGCTCCATGGGGCACTGAACCTGGGCACGCTTGCATTTCTGATTGCTTAGATGTGTAATTTTAGAAGGTCGGACTTGTGGAAATACTGCCTGTTTTCTTAATTCTTCTTAATTTATCCATTGGTATATTTTCAGCTGCAGTTACCTGTATTGGGGAAGACGATGTTAATAATTACTCCATCCATGATGTGGTAATGCCCTTGCCTGGTTTTGATGTTATCTACCCCCAGCATAAAAGTAAGTTCCCTCCGGGGAAGATAGTTGAAGTCGGACATAATTAAGCCACTGGCAGCCAAGAGTCGAGAGAGGGAAAAAAAATCAGTATTTTAAATATGATTTTAGAACCTTAATTTCCATCCGACTTGAAAAAAAATGTTTAGATTTCAAACATGCATAAGCCGTGTTTGCTTATAAAAGTCTCCCTGAAATAGATGCATTCAGATGGATGATTTAAATTAAGAAACCAGGTGGTGGAGGTGGTGGTGATGGTGATAGTGTTGGTATCCTTATTGTTGTGGCTGTTATTATTGGCACTGTTATTTAAAATTTCTGAAATTCACTAATTCTTACTAAGGATGGGAGGGTTTGGAAAGAGTCATTGAGAAAGAGAATGGATAATTATACTTTAACATTGCTTTTTTTAACCTTTTTTTTTTTTAAACCGCGTTAAGTAATATCTGTTCATTGTGTTTCAAGAGTCAGTGGGCTCAGAAGTTTATAAACTGGAAACTTAGCATTCCCTACCCTTATTTCCCACTCCCCAGAGGCTGATAAGAATTACTTCTGTACCTTCATGGATGCCATTTTGACAGGGGAATTGGAACTTTTACTGTTGAAGGATTCAGAAATTGTAAAACAGAAAGCAGCCCTGAGCCTGGGACTACCCTGGTGGAACTGACCCTGGAAGTTTACTCCTCACCAGGGCTGGTCTGTCGGAGGTGTTTTCCTGTTAAAACATCTATTCTCTCAAGAGCCCAGAATTAGTTTACTTATCAACGTTATATTTCTTGAAATTACAAAATGATTAGGATTAACACCCTTCTTTGATAAGGCAAATACTTATAAAAGAGTGGAGTGGTAGCCTGCCATTTACATGTTGACTAATCAGACTGCTGTGTGAGGTTGGCCTCATGGAGGGAAAAGGATTAGACAAGAGGAGGGAGAATGAATAAGGGCGGTAGACAAGGGTGGGGTGGCCTGCCTGTGCTGCGTGGATGGCACAGATGGTGCAGCGAGGAACCGGAGACCAGTACCAGGAGGTAGAGAAGGAAGGCACTGAGATGCTTGGAGCCACACTTGCCCTCTTTCCAGGAGAGAAAAAGAAAGCATTCTTTTCTACTCTCTGGTACCTCTCAAGGTCAGAAACTTTGGGCTAGTTAGTATCAGTTAAAACATACATTCAGCTTAGCCTTTGACAGAGCCGACTGTGGAGACCTCGTGGCCAAGACAGGGGCTCACAGACTGGCTGGGTGGTGGTTCAGTCATGTGGATTCATGACGTAGGCACACTTGGTGTCAGCAGTGCTCAGTTAGGGATCCCTGCTGTCCTCACAAGTGGGTCGTGAGGGAGTCTTTCCTTGACCCTGGTCTAACCAACGTTTTTTACGAATGACGTGAGTAAAGAAATCTGCTTATCATATTTGCAAGTAGTATAACCCAAAATAGTTAATATTAATTATATGGAAAATAAGTATTTAAAAAGAACTGCAGAGGGCATTTAATAGGGTTAAATGTAAATTCTCATGTTTACGTTCAGAGATCAAGTGTACAGATGGAAAAGGCCAGTTTGGTGGTAGTCTACATGAAAAGTATCTGGTGTTACTATTAACGTAAGCCTGTTACCCAAGGCAGATGAGGGGTCGGTGGGGAGTACAGAAATATCAAAGGAGGGACAGTTGGAGGAACTTGTTGGTCTAGAGGAGATCATGGCTTAAAGGCCCAGTACTTACAAACACATGTGGAAGAAAGCAATTAATCTGTGTTCGAAAGCAGTTGACAGGAGTCACACGAAGACATATTTCAGCATGGCACAGAAAAAATTTTCCAATAATTGCGTGCCTCACAAAGTGGTAGCTCCCTGTAAATGGCAACGTGAAAGCAAAGGCTGGATGACTGTCTCTCTCTGGTGTTGTAAAAAAGTTTCTACATCAGGTGCGAGGGTGAGCCAGATGGTGTTCCCAGGTCTCTTATTTTTATACATTTATTTATAACTACCTTCTTCCGGAAGGAGTTAGAGGCTCTGTGTATGGTCTCTTCCAACTCTGAGTACATATCCATTGTAGTTGAGTAACTTCTGATGAAATGGCCTTTTGTAGCCATCTTGGGACCCTTAACCCCAGATACTGTGCCTGGTTGCAAAAATAACCTACAAGTCGGCCAAACCTAAACTGGAGACACCTAGTACTAGTTAGTAAGTCAGTACGTTTTAATTCCATAGAACAGATTGGATTGTAAATTGAGATGATTGATTTTGTTAAGGTGACAGAATTTATGTTACTCTCTATAGTTCAAGGTAGCTTGCTGACATGCTGCATTCCAACTGATTTTGTTTTATATTAGTTAGTGAAGCCTACAGGGAAATGCTCACAGCGGACAATCTTGATATTGACAACATGAGACACAAAATTAGAGATTATTCCTTATCAGGGGCCTACCGAAAGATCATTATTCGTCCGCAGAATGTCAGCTGGTGAGTAATAGTCTGGAATGAAATAGAACTGAACTACTAGATTTTAACCTTTTTCATTATATAAATATTTTTCATTGCTTACAGCCTGGCATAAAAGTGTTATTGCTGTTATTGAATACTATTCTCATTACTGCTACTACCTGGTAATTTTCAAATTATCAGGAGATAAATGAATTCAAATATATAGTGAAAGTGCCTAAGTTTACGTCTTACTGACATTGCTAAATTATTGAAGAGATGTGCAGAGAATGAACTTTTCCCCTATTCCTAAAAAACTGAGATTTTCAAGATACCTTACTCAGAATTAGCTGTGAGTTCCACACTGATATGGTTGTTTCATTATCATGTTTCTAGAGAGAAAAAGGTACTTGTATTACCCATTTTAAAATACTTTAATACCTAGTATTATGTAAAGCTTTATTTGATAATTAAAAAAATTAAACCCTGGACTAGTTGCCCACTGTCAGGAAGTTCTCTTCCTTCTCTCCATCTCTTCTCCCTTTTCCTTTTCCCTCCTCTTCTCTGGATTGTGGGAAGAGGCTGACAGAGTTGGCCTCCAGCTTGCCAGAGAGCAGTTTCTCACAGCAACATGGTGGTGTTAGTGGTGATAACTGCCCTGGAGAAAGTACAGATGCTGTGATTAATTCACTTGCATCTCTGCCAAGTGAAGTTTACTACTTACCAACTACATACAAAAGGAATTTCCATGCTAGGGAAGCATTTTTTATTTTTACCATAGGCTGGCATCATCTGTCACCTTGCTATATAGTATTTCTGTATAAAATATGGCCGTATCCTGTTATTGAATACTCCCACCTGGAATTATTTACACTAGGCCTGTGTGTTTTCCTTGCTAAACAAATGGTGATGAGTAACTTAGTGCCTGTTACGGAAATTCACATTCACACTTTTCTTTATATGTTTCAAAGGGAAGTCGTTGCATATGATGATCCTAAAATTCCACTCTTCAACACAGATGTGGACAACCTAGAAGGGAAACCACCACCAGTGTTTGCTTCTGGTAAGTTTACTCAGCCATCAGTTCTGTGTCAACTTTGAAATGTTTTCTCATACCAAAACATATTTAAAAAAAAAAATCTTATAATCACCACCATCTCCCAGCCTACTCTGTGAGTTCTGTTTTGTGTTTTGTCATCTTAGTTTTATGATTACAGTTGGAGGTCAGTGATTAAAAGAGTATTTCCCACTGAAAATGAATGAACATTATAGAAGGTTGTGATGTTAGGTGATTGGATATCCTCCCCACTCCCATAGACAGTTAACAAAGTTAAGTGAAAACCCAGCAAGAGAGTCTAAAATGCCTTTTCATTGTCAAATTCTTGTTGCCATTCCTTTGTCTGTTTTCACCCTGTAGTGTAAATTTTTTTTTTTTTTTCATTTTATATGTGTTTCTCTCCTATGCTCTTCTGTCACCTACCCTTTCTATGAAGGTTCCAGGTAGAATTACTATAGGGATTCGGGTGGATCCTTCACTCACAGATCTCTTACTTCCATGCCTCATTTTCTGAGGCCCCATGGGAAGTAGGCTGAAGAAAGGAGCACAGTTCTTTTATCTGTATAGAGATTATGTGACTCGCCCCAGTCTGTCTGCAGCTGCCTTACTTTCTGACTGTTCTTTCTTGCCTGGCAGAAGGCAAATACAGAGCTCTGAAGATGGATTTTTCTCTCCCTCCTTCTACCTACGCGACCATGGCCATTCGCGAAGTGCTAAAAATGGATACCAGCATCAAGAACCAGACCCAGCTGAATACCACCTGGCTCCGCTGAGGCCTTTGTCTCCAGATTAGAAAATGCAGACACGTTTGCTGGCTTCCTGTTCATTTTCCTCTTAGTACAGACCCCTATGTGGATTTTGGATCTTTGTACTAAAAAAGCTATTTGTATTTTTCCAAGTTTTTATTAGCTTAATTTGCAATATTTGTACATACATACAAATTTTGAGGATCCTAATTCTAGCTCAGAGAATATCAGTTGGTTAGAATATATTTCAGGTGCTTAAATCATAGTAAAACGTCAGCTTTACTGGCTTTATAATCATTTAAAGGAATTTGGTTTAAAGTAGCAGTTTTAGGTTTTGCTACATTCTTCGAAGGACAACAGTAATTTTTTTTTTTTTTTTTTGGCAACAGTAATTTTTAACGCATCCATGAATGGAGTACATAGCAATGGATTTTAAGAGAAAACAAAACAAATCTTGGCTATGGATAAATAATTAGAGTGAGCCTTCCCCCTAGAACCTGTGAATATAAATAACAGTACTCATGCTTGTTTAAATGGTGATAAAACATCCACAAGTTTAAAAACACAAAGTGATTGTCATTATCCGGCTCATGAACCAGGTTCAGGTAAGTGTTTATAGACTTTTCAGTTGCAATAGCTTTTGCATTTATTATTATCATTGGCTTGCAGGAGAGTTGCATCAATAGGGCTTTTTGTTTCTTGATGTAAACATGTGCACCTCTTTTTGTTAGTTAAGGTCTAATTTTTATTCTAGGTGCCTTTTATGTTCAGAACTCCTTCCACTGGACTGATTGATATCTGCCCGAAAATAAATGATAGAGAAGAAAGCTTTTGAAAACTTACAAGGGCTCCTCCTATCAACAGCATTATCCTTTGTTATTCACGGCTTAGGTATTTCCAGTTCTGGCCATGCATAAAACTTTGCTCTGGTGTGAAAGCATAAATATGCCTTCCCAAAGGTGTGTGACGTAATTGTACCATCATTTCTAGAACGAAATATAATAAATATTTTAAAACACTCAGTTCTTCTGGTTATGTTAATAAATGAAATAAATACTTAAACTGAATGCAAATGAGAATGTTGGCCCTGCTGAAGGCGAGAAACTAAGTGAATGAGAGATCCTCAGAAAAGGTGTGTCGTGACTGGGCGTGAGATAATATGATGGCGTGTCCAATTGTATGACTGATTGACCATGTTAGACTGGCATCAAGGTTATTCTTACAGTAGCACCACTCACTTGCCTTCCAGCGTGCTTTCTGGATGGAAAAGAAAGGGGTAGAGAAAAGCCACCCTACTCCACCACGGGAATGCGGATGACATTCGTCCTGTATCTGGCAGTGGAAACAAGGTGGAAAATTGTATTTTAGCCCTGGTATTTTAATGATGTCTATCACATTGCAGAGGTTAAAAAAAGATTAGAACCCTCCTGGTAAATTACCCTTTCAGCTGGCTAATTTCTAAAGAATCTTTTGCCCCACCAGGGCCAAATGTATTAAATGTATGATGTCTATTTGTACTTTCCAGTGCTAGCAAGTTATTCTTCACCAGACTGATTAGTGAGAAAGTATTTATTGAGGGAACCTAACTCTTCATGTTGCAAGTGCATTCCATACTTCTGCATTTATAAATTTATATTACAAAAAAAAAAAAGTGAGGCTAAACTTATGTTTTCTTCATTTTTGAAGTATTGGTACTTGTGGCTCTTTGTGACGAGTTAATTTTCCTGGCTGCATTAGCTGACTACCAGTTTGTGCATGTCTCCTCTTAAACAGCAGTGGAGGATAATGATTCAAGGTAGATTCTTAGAGCCATTTTGAGACTTGGGGACATATCTAATGCTAGGGACTTAGTCAACTGGGAATAAATCATTGCCGTAGCATCTTGTTGTTAACAAAGTGGAGGTGTGGGACGGGGGGCAGGAATACTGTAAGGCAGGTTTACGAAGCCTGCCGGCAGTCGCATCCTCAACATAAAAGTATCTTTGAAAAAAGAAATCTTTGTTTCCTAAATTTTTGCCAGACAAATAATAAAGGATGAGTGTTTTTTATTATAATATAAAACCAGCGCTATCTACTGATGGAAAAGTAAGCTAAATAACCACCAGCTGACCATCAACTGTTTTTTTTCATGGTTTCATGTAGTAGATTATAACTAGACTGCCATTATACTAATTAAAAAGATACCTGGTTGATTCCCGAATCTTCATGGTTACATGTTGTAGATAACAACTAGACTTCTATGATACTAATAAAAATTTTTTTTTTCCTGGTTGATTCCTGAATCAACCGAAAAATTGGTAGCAGCTGCAACAGCACATCAGTACTTAAAACTCCACCAGTTGTTCCAGGCTGTACAAATTAGCACAAACCGGTATGTATTTGCACTAAAGTGCATTTTGTGGCCAATTTTGCACTAAAAAATCAGGGTGTGGGTATGGGTGTATAATACAAAATAGAATATATATAAATGTTATACTACTTATCTGTGCTAATGCGTGTACATGTGGTATTTTGAAACATAAAAACAGTCTAGGAGAATGAACTGTGTGGGTAGCATGGGTGAAGAAGTGAGAACACAGCAGAAGAACCTCAAAGCCGTGGATGGCCAGGTTCTGCCCTTCATGAATTGAAGAGTATGCCTGCATAACAAAGGGTGATTTAAAAGTTTTTCTTTGTTCAATGAAATCTGCTTTCCTACTTTACGGGGCTACATTTCTATAGGATAAAACTTCTGTTTTGGATCACAAACTCCTTGGAAAATCTAAGGAAAAAGTGTGGACATTGTCTTCAGGGGAAGGAAAGGGGTAAAGCATGTATATACACATACGTACACCTATACATACACATATGTGCTAACTTTTTATACAGTGTAGTATTCAGCTAAGACCCTCTACTCTGGGTCAGTGCTTTCCAGACGTTAATGTGCATAGGAATCACCTGGAGATGCTGTTACTGCAGGATGTATTTCAGGAAGTTCGGATGGAGTCAGAAATACCTTGTGTTTCTAACAAACTCCCAGAGGTACTTGTGCTGCTGGTCTGCACACCACACTTGGGGAAGCAAGGCTCTAGACCTTTGCCGGCCAGTACAGCAGCCCTAGCCACGCGTGTTAATTTAAATTTAAGTTAACTAAAATGAAGTTGAGCTTCCCAGTCACACTAGCCACAGTTCAACAGCCCCATAGCCATCTGTGTGGTTAGTGGCTGCTGTATTGGACAGCACTGCTCTGGATAACAAATCCGTCACCAGAAATATTCCAGTACACAGGAGGTGTGACATCCAGCGATGCTAATGATTAAAGTCAAATGCTCAGGTAACACGCATTCCACAGGTGCAGGTGGGGTTACGTTGCGATTAGATCCAGGGCTCACACTGATGGCTTAAGAGTTCCCACTTGAAGTAGATCACCCTAGGGGTCTTCCTTAAACTCAGTTCAATGCTTCTCATGTTCTGGTTTCCTCCTGGATCACCTGTGATCCTTTTTGCTGCCCTTGCTTTCATCTAGATACCTTGTCCAAAGGTTCAATCAAACCATACTTAAAGCTCTGAGGCCGTTTTGCTCCACAGGGGGAAATTATCCAGAACTGCTGGATAATTATAATTATCCTTAACTGATGTCATTTAAAACTTTCCTTCTTGGCTGGCACATGCTGTAGCTTCTTATGAAAGCAACAGCTGCAGAAAGCAAGCATGGTTGGAGGGTCCATATGATTGTGTTGTCTCGAAAGTACGGTGATGACTTTGTGTTACAGCTTTTCCACCCATACTAAAGACTCCTGCAAAGTGACCAGTATATAAAAGAGATGGCGACAGGGAACTATAATAGAAGTTATTCAGAGCCCTGTCTTCTGATGCATACTTACCTTTCCCTCAAAAGCTCTAAATGTTTTTTTAGAACAACTCTTTCCAATAGAAATATCATGTGAGCTGCGTATGTAATTTGAAATGTTCTCGTCCGGGTGGGGGCCCTGAGCCCCCACATTGAGTCTGTTTAAAAAGAGACAGGTGGGATTAATAGTATATATTTTATCTAAACCAATATATCTAAAAGATAATTTCAACATGTAATATGCAAAGCTAAATATTTTTCAGTCTCCTTTTTGTAGTAAGTCTTTAAAATACAGTGTGTATTTTACACTTACAACACATCTCAGTTTGGACTAGTCACATTTCCAGTGTTCAGTAGCCACATGTGGCCAGTGGCTACTGTGTTGGCCAGTGGCTACTGTGTTGGACAGTACGGTTTTTTGTTTTTTTTTCCGGTACGCGGGCCTCTCGCTGTTGTGGCCTCTCCCATTGTGGAGCACAAGCTCCAGACGCGCAGGCTCAGCGGCCATGGCTAACGGGCCTAGCGGCTCCACGGCATGTGGGATCCTCCCGGACCGGAGCACGAACCCGTGTCCCCTGCATCGGCAGGCGGACTCTCAACCACTGCGCCACCAGGGAAGCCCGACCGTAAGGTTTTGAAAGAGCACTTCTTTATTGCATGTCATTGGTATAATGGTAAATATTCCTTCAGTATTAAGGTTTAATTTGTTATACTGTGAATATGTAAGTTGGGATTAAGGCTAGTTAAATGTGATTTTAAAATGCTTACTTGATTATTACATTTTATAGTTATTGGGACTAAATGTTTTTACTATGGGAGCACATAGCAAACATGGCTGTTAATAGATGGGAAATATTTCAGGATGCTGAAATTTTCCTTAAGCTGTTCCGATGACGCTCTGCAATTTTCTCTCCTCTAAATAATGCAGAGCTGATCTTTAGTGCAGCTTCTGTTTAGATTTTGGATTCCAAATTCATGGAATGTAAATTGAGGTTTTAGGGATGATAGGATTTTGTGACCGGTTAGCACCCAAAGCTGGGAACCCAAGTTGTTTGTGCAGGCGGGGTAAGGCGATTGAAGCAGGGCTGAAGTTTCTGCCTTGTTTTTTTTTATTAATAGCTTTGTTGAGATAAATTTCATATGTTGTACAATTCACTTATTTAAAGTATGTAATTCAGAGGTTTTTCAGTGTATTCAGAGCTGTGCAACCATCACCACAATGAATTTTACACCACCTGTATCACCCCAAAAAAGAAACCCCTTACCCATCAGCAGTCACTTTCCATACCCAGCCCCTGGCAAGAACTACTTTCAGTCTCTATAGATTTGTCTATTCTGATCATTCGTATAAATGCAGTTATACAAGATGTGGTCTTCTGTGACTTCTTTCACTTAGCATAATGTTTTCAACTTTCATCCATGGTGTAGTAGGTGTCAGTGCTTCATTCCTTTCTATTGCCACGTAATATTCCATGTATGAATATACCACATTTTGTTTATCCATTCGTCCATTTGACGGATGTTTGGGTTGTTTCCACCTTTTGGCTGTCATGAATAATGCTCCTAGAAACAGTTTTGTTCAGGTTTCTGTGTGGATATATGTTATTTCTTTTGGGCATATAACTAGGAGTGGAATTACTGGGTCATAACTCTGTGTTTAATCTTCTGAGGAACTGCCAGAATGTTTTTCAAAGCATCTGCACCATTTTACATTCTTACCAGGAGTGTATGAAGGTTCCAGTTTCTCCACATCCTCACCAGCACTTGATATCTGTCTGATTATAGCCACCCTAGTGGTTGTGAAGTTGTATCTCATTGTGGTTTTGACTTGCATTTCCCTAATGACTAATTATGTTGAACATCTTTTTGTGTGCTTATTGGTCTTTTTTCTATGTTTTTTGGAGAAATGTCTATTCAGATCCTTGGTCCATTTTAAAATTGAGTTATTCGTCTTTTTGTGGTTGAGTTTTAAGGCCTCTTTTATATTTTCTAGATACATTATCAGATATACAGTTGGCATATATTTTCTCCCAGTCCCTGTGTTTTATCACTTTCTTGGGGAATGGGTTTTAAAGGTTGCAGGAGATATTCTTTGTTGACATTTTGTTTGTAAACTAGTCCACAGTAACCCCAAAATGGATTTTCATAACAGGGAGGGCTCGAGGTTAAGTGCAAGAATTCCTCAACCTTA